CGGGTCAGTAGATCGAATGAACACTCAGCCACCATCCCAGGCTGCACGGTAAAGGTAAATAGACCGAATGGGGCCGCCGAATTCGCAGTGGTCACTACGCCCCCCATGGCCAAAGTTAAAATTACATCATTATAACATATAAATGAATAAATGAATAAATAAACAATTATCTACGTCTTACTGTAATAGCCAAAAGTTATCCCGTCAAACAGCAAAAAACACTTATAAATAGTTAATATTTTCAAATTGCACGCGGATACGATGAGTCGAAAACTAATAAATAAATATAATTTCAAATACTATATCTATATAAAAAATAAATCACAATGTATCACATTTGCTCGTTTAAGAAAACAGTGTTATAATTGGACACCAATGACAAGTTAGAAAAGTGATCATCGCTTAAGGATAAAAGTCGATTTTTGAAAGTTGATCTCTTTGATTGCATCGAAAATAGTTCGTGGACCCTATTTGACATTCTGCACATTTGGTTGAGTGGAACGGATGGATTGATTCGGAAGAATTTGTCATTGATTTTGAAGTACTCGACACTTCTCAAGTTACGTCCATTTTGATTGCGGGCCATTTCAGTCTTCAGTGATGGGCAGTGAACGTTGTTTTGCATCAAGTCGAATATGAATAAAATTGATGCATTTATACGGCGCCTTTCGAGTGATTGCATGTTTAGTTTGCCCAGGCGAGCGCTGTACGATGAAATTTTGTAGTCATTCGAGATGTTTGGATACTCCTTGAGTGCAAACATTGAGAATTGACGAAGGCAAGATTCAATTTTGTTCTTGTGAATGCTATGGTACGGTAGCCATACTAAACTGCCATACTCCAAGATTGATTGTACGAGGGCGCAGTATAACGACTTGAGAGTATTGACATCAGGAATATCGTAGCAGAATCTCTTCACGAATCCGAGCGCTGATGTTGCTTTTGCCACGATTGAATCGATGTGTTTGACGAAGTTGAGTTTGCTGTCGAAAATTACTCCCAAGTCTCTTTGTTCGCTTACTCTCTTAAAATTGTGACTGCCATATGAGTAGGAGCACATGATTTTCTCTCTCCTTTTTGATATCGACATAACAGAGCATTTGTCGAGATTTAGGTAAAGTTTGTTTGCTTCGCACCAGTTCTTTAATTTATCAATTGCCACTTGAAGTTTGATAGTGTCATTGGTGTCAGTGATTGAAGTTGCCAATTTCAGATCGTCAGCAAACAGAGAGATAAAAATGTCGTCGTCATCAATGGAATTTACAATATCGTTGATGAAAAGTAGAAATAGAGTGGGGCCCAAGTGACTACCTTGAGGCACCCCTGAGTTAACAACAAACTCACTTGATTCCATTTGCCCATATTTCACAAATTGACGACGATTTGACAAATACGATTTGATCCAATCGATTAAGTTTGGTGGCAGATTGAAATTGTGAAGTTTTGAAATCAGAATCGAATGATCAACAATGTCAAATGCCTTACTAAAGTCTGTGTAAAGTACATCTACCTGCTTATCTTCGTTCACTGCCTTGAGTGAAAAGTGCAGGAATTCCAAAAGATTCATCGAAGTTGAGCGGCCTTTCATAAAACCATATTGTTGAGGCACGATTTTATCGGCTACCATCTTGCTGATCTCCAAATTAATCAAGTATTCGAAAAATTTAGCGATTGTTGGCAATTTGGCAATGCACCGATAATTTTCAACGTTAGAGCGTGATCCCTTTTTAAAAATTGGTCCAACGCTGTAACGTTTCCAACTCGTGGGAAAGTGTCCAGTGGAAAGCGATTCATTGAATATTATCGCTAGAGGCGCATACAGTAGGGCGGCACAATTTTTGAGAAGGATAGGATGTATCCCATCCGGTCCAACGCCTTTCTTTGAGTTTATTTTAAGCAACTCGTCGAAAACAAAAAATTCGTTAAGAATCAATTCGTTAACGTTTGAGTTTGTTTGAATTGATGCTTGTGCTACCGATTGACTTTGACACGGCTGGTTAACAAAGTTGTTTTTAAAAAAAGAAGCAAACATTTCGGCTTGTTCCCTTTTATCAACCGAAGATTTATCACCAAAATGTAATAATTTTGGGTCACAATCATTGTTTTTCTTCGTATTGACAAAGCGCCAGAACGATGTAGGGTCAGACTTCAGTGAAGAAGTCATTTTGTCGACATACGAGTTATACAGTTCCGTGTTAAGTTTGGTGTAATTATCAAGCGCAAACAAATAGTCTGAGTCATCGTTCGTTGACTTCGATCTCTTCCACTCTTTGTTCTTTTTGTTCTTGAGAGATTGGAGTTGCTTGTTGTTCCACGGACATTTCGATTGAATCTTTTTCGTTTGTATAGGTACGTACATATCGATCGCTTCATTAATAACTTGGTGCAAAATGTCGACTTTTTGGTCAAGGGTCTTATTTGAAAAATGACGAGAGAAATCGACGTCGGCAAAGTACCTATTCATTGCAATGTAGTCGGCCTTGAGGAAGTTTCGAGTTTGAAATTGCCCTTGCGTTGCGTTATTTATGTGCCATTCATACGTCAAGAGAATTGGAGGATGATATTGTTCATCAATGACAGATAAAGGAGGCGGGCAAGAAACTTCCACATTTGTGAAATCGTTCGTGAATATTAAATCGAGCAATTTATTGCTTGCATTGCGAATAGAATTAATCTGATAGACACCATTGGCGGTGATGTCTTCGATGAAATCTGCCGCATGCAGTGGAGTGACGCAAGTTGGAATGAGAACATTAAATTCAGCGTCATCCATAATCCAATTGACAAGGGGTAGATTAAAATCCCCCAGTACAATGATAGTGTCATTTGGGCTCGATGGAATATGGCTTATGGCAATCGAGTGGCGTTTGTATATTTCCGGCTGTGAGTTTGGCGGAATATACGCAGCATAAATAAATACATTGAGTTTTGTATTAATGCTGACTTTAACGCAGACATATTCCAATTCACTTGTGTTGTCGAATACAATGTTGGTGGATGTAAGTTTTGATGTGACTGCTATTAGCACACCACCACCACGACTTAACGATGAACCAGTCTCATAGCGATCCTTGCGGTAAACATGGTATGAATTGTCAA